CAGATGTGTGCAGCACATTTTATGGAGGACTGTTTCCTGATTCTGGTAGAGTAGACTACAATGCCGGCTGTTCTGACTCACAGACTGTAAGTAAGTTTTTTTTTTTTATTTAAAGAATTTGCCACTGATGATTCAAACGCGAATTTTGGGCAGTGTAGAGTAGGGCTTGTTGTTTGTCATTTCTCCGATCACATATGCAGACATGGTTTTATGTTTACGCGGCGCGATGCAACGCAACGTGTAAAAAGACAGTATAAGTCATTATAATCCGTTATTATGTCCCCACTGGATGCAACAAATGCCTCGTTTGTAATGGGTTTTAATGTTTTTGTCTCGTCGCTCCGGCCGGGACAGGGCATCACAGTATGATGAGGGGCGTAACATTTCCGTCACACGCTTGAGGTATTCAGCCAATCATAACGCTCTGGATAGCTGGCCAATCACAGCACACCTCGCTTTTCAGACCGATGAGCTTTGTAAAAATCGACGCGTTTCAGAAAGCCGGGGCATAGAGGAGAAACAATAATGTACAGTATGTGTAAAATAATGTGTTTTTTTTAACCTTAAACCGCATAAACATTTCATTACACCAAATAAAGTTCTTTTTAGCAACATAATTTGACCCCTTTAATTTCCATATTGAATAACATAATTTAAACAGAACACATGCTTTATGCAGTAAATTAAGTTCAATGCTTTTGTACTAAAAGTGGGTCAGCCGTCCAAATCAAAGAGAGTCTCATTCCTCTGCTTTACAGACAGTGGGCAGGTCAGATAGAGAGAGAGAGGGAAATCATTAGCAATGTATCAGCAAGTGATGATTTCAATGAAACGTTAGCGGTGGGATGTGACAGGTGCAAAGCACACGGACCATCAGGGCATGTTCATTTAGACATGATTGTGTGCCCACCAAATAACAGTAGAAGTACGATTGTGATTATAATTATCACTCATCAATAGGTTGATGCCTTCACCTGTTTTCTGTGCTGTTCTGGATTTCATTTCACATTTCACAACACTACACGCCACAAACATTAAGCACCTTTGCCCTTTGTCTTCCATATTTAGTACGTCCCTTTTGTGCTGTAATGACTGCAGCATTCATGCTGGCATAGACGAAACCTGATGATCATATTACAGCACGATCTGATAATGTTCGAGTGGACGAAAGGATCCTTTTAAGTTCACATGGTCAGAATCACAGATTTGATTATTGACCAGAATCTTAAATATTGAGTGAGGAGAACATTAATAGCTATTACTATATTGTGTGTTTTAGCATGGCTGAGGAACTGTATTAACTATTGTGAATGAATGAATTAATTAATAAATACATCTTCAGTATTAAATATATTTTAATATAGTGCACCATTCATTTAGTCATTACTTTTGGTCTCATTTTCCATGCCATTTCTTTCCAAGATCATGCCATAATCACCTTCTCTCTTTTTTTACTTTCTAGGAATGATGCTAATAAAAACATTGATTTTCTGCCGGCGGTCTGAACTGCTGTATATTGTGGAGAGCAAAAGGTACCGCTAAACTTTGAAACACTGTAATTAATTTTTTTGGTCTTTATGATGTGCTTTATGTTATCTGTTGAAAAAAAACAAATCAGAAATGTGATGCTTTCTAATGACTTGACTAAATTGTACAATGTCATATTGTTATTTATTTATTGATTTATTTTGTGGACAGTACATTGCTATTACTGCCGGAAATACTCTATTATAACTAGTCAGACTGATTGCCTTTTTCTTACCTGTGTTCTCACCTGATGAAACCACACGCTACGATCAACACTCATCACAGCCTCTACAGTAACATCTGGAGTTTAATGGTGTTTTTGTTTGTCTTTTTTGCAATAATAACTACCTTCTAAGACAAAAATGTCCTGCTTATATTTTTCCTATAATATTTCACATGCACTTCATATTAGTTTAGCAAATGTTTTTGACTTATTCACCATTTAGCTACTGATTGTCTTGTGCTGGCTTATTGCAAATATCTTTAATTATTACAAGATTATATAAGATTAAGTATTAAACATTTATTAATTGCAACAGGCCAAAAAATACAGTAAAGGAGGTTCAAATTAAAAAGATAATTTGAATTAAAAATCAACTTAAATATAACATATAATTTAAAATAGTTATTTTATACCTTATAAATTATTTTGTGAATTTATGCAATGCTATTGGTTTGCAATAACTGCTTTAATCTAGTCTTTTTGTATATTTTTATGCATGTTTCAGCACGAGGCAACACTATATTGTCATACAGAGGATTGTATATATTTATACACTGATGAGAATAATCAACAATTCAACAATGCGTCCATACAGTTCTGGAAAAAAATCTTGTGTGCCCCATGAACATAATTTTCAACAACATAATTTTGTCAACATTTAGTGCATAAACTGTTGAGGTCACGGATGTAAAAAGTAAATGCAAACAAATAATTATTAACTAGTTCAATGACCTAAACCGCTTTAGTCTGTCTGTATAATGAGGATTTTACTGAAGCTGGTAATTTACTCACGTGATTTGGATCATAGTCACATGACCCAAATTCTACAGATGCCCAGGCCAAGAGGGTTATAATAACTGCGAAATAATGATTAGAAATAATTTTGTATCACTTAAACTTTAACAAATCTTCTCTAAAGTCATCTGAAATCTCTTTTCATGCGTTGGAACAGAATTACATTATTTTGAGCAGGTGATCAAAAATTATATCAAAATCTGAATTGCTTTGAACTCTTTATCAAAGGCTTTTTATCAAGAAAGTAATATTTTTACTTCTCCCAATTACCTTGATTGTTTGGTTATAACATTTTAGAATTTATATTATAAAATATATAGAATTTAGATTTGGTTATAAAACTGTAGAATTTATATAAAAAGTGTGTAAAAACTAAATATCTAAGTCAGACTTCTATTTATTATGTATTATGACTGAGCTGATAATCGGATTACATGTGATCTCTTATAATTCATTAACATCTGAGTCAGCAAAGATTAGATGAGTTGATCGAAGCCTAGGAACAAATGGAATTATTATTATTAATTATTATTTCTATTCTGTTGTGACAGTTGTACCAAAAACTGTATTTCCATTTGTAAACATTTCTAGGATATTTGTATATTTTGAAGAGTAATATAGATGAAGCATTAGGTTTAATGGCATTTAATGTACTGAATTAGCAATGAACTGAAATCCACTGTAGCCCTACATTTGATAAAGACAAACTGAGTTCCAACCTTCCAAAACATTTGTGTGTTTCTTTAATGGGCACTTTCTGCCCTGTGGATACTTAAAAAAATAAATACTCTTTAAACACTCTTGTTTCTTGTTTGCATAACTTCATTTGTCCATTATCAATTTCTCCTGTGATATTTTTATAAATACTACAAAATGTTTAGATTAAATTTCTGTGTGTGTGTGTGTCCGTATATATAAATACACACACACACACACACACATACATATACATATACATATACATATACATATATATATAGTGTGTGTGTGTATGGAAAATAAATATACTAAAATGTATTTGAAATAAATTTATTTCATGCTAAGTATACTACAAATAAATTTACATATTTACGTACTTAAAAATACCCTGCATTTGTACTGTTGGTATACTAAACTGGCATACTTCAAGTCTGCTAAACTGGAACAACTAATTTTGTGCTTAATGCACTTTAATTGTGAGGAAGTATTGCTGAAGTCCAACTAAAGATATACTGAAGTATATTTGATTGTGCTATTGCAAGTAAACTTTAGGCGCACTTAAATTTCTTGCATTTAAAGACCCATATTATTCAAAGTTCACACAATCCTCATCAGTAGTGGCATTAAAACACATTTTAGGCTTAATATTAAGAAATGTGCATTGTGCACAAGTAGTACTCCAAACAAAGTTTAGTTATAATTTTTATATCAGTAAGTCTCGTGCGATGTCAGTAAATATGTTAATAGATTAGAACTATACTTAGTATGAAATAAATGTATTTTAAATATATAACATACACACACACACACGTTTGTTTTTGTGAAAAGTAGGGACATTCCATAGGCGTAATGGTTTTTATACTGTACAAACTGTATGTGCTATTGCCCTACACCAACCCTACCCCTAAACCTACCCCTTACAGGAAACTTTGTGCCATTTCAGATTTTCAATACACTCCATTCTGTGTGATTTATAAGCGTTTTGAAAAGTGGGGACATGGGGTGATGTCCTGAAAAGTCACCTTCTTCTTGTAATACCTATGTCATACCCTTGTCATTATACAAATTTATGTCCTCATTTGTCACACACACAGCCTATATGCTGTGCGTTGTAAATGAATTCCTGGGATTGTTTTTGTTATTTTTGTTCTATGAGTGTGTTCTGAAATATGCAGACCTCACAGCTCTTTAGAGCCTCAAATACCTTTTGTCTACTCTTCCACCTGCACTCCAACTTAAGAGCATCAGTCTGTTGCACAACGGTTCAGGGCTTTTCTCCTGAACTGACTTTAAATAGCAGTCTGGGAGATCTGGAAGTTACCTGTCAAACCTGAAATAAAAATGACAGTGGTCGAAGGAAACCTTCATACTGCAATAAGCCTGCAATGTCTCATGCGCTCTAAATTCTGTGATCATTGCTTCACATTCAAGAACATAAAAACTGGGTAACACTATTTTAACACTAGAGAACAGCATGTAAAATATTTTACAGTCAGGATTTTCTAGCAGCTAATAAAGATCTCTAACCTAGTAACATTTCATAAACATTCGAAAACAAACTTCTACTTCCTAAAAACACCTCATTTGAGTATTACGTGTGCCACGCTGAAAAAGATCAAATGTACCTTTTCTTAGATTTATTATTCAACAAAATAACAGCAGAATTGTTAGAAAGTGAGGGATCACATTCATAAATGTGTTCAAGGTTCAAGAGAAATATGAGTTAGACTTCCTGGATGACACGGCACACTTCACTACACTGACCTATCTCAGAATTCAGTGTCACAAACTGTCATACTAAATTACAGCCAAACATTCATGCTGCCAGCTATGTTGACTCAGGCCCTTTTACACTTCTGCTAGTATCAAGTGGAACATTAGGTCAGGAAGAAGCGCACTAATTGTGGAGATCAACCTCATCAAGTTGGAAAACCACCCTAAACCTGCTCAGACCAGCAAAAAGTTATGGCAGGTCACGTTAGTCAAGCTCGCATCAGCTGACTGCATAGATGCGCAGGGAGTTATTGCCCAGAACAGAACTGTAGCGGTGGCGGGCGCTTAAAAAAAAAAAAAAAAAAAAAAAGTAACAATCGGATCTGATTTAGTTCGGGCGCCAGACAAGCTCAGTCTTGTCAAATATAACAGTTTTACCCAGAATAGCTTTTTTAAGCCACCGGTTACAAAAATAATTGGAATGAAATGTCCACACAACATAAGTTCAGGTTCATAGCTTCAAAGTTGTATTTAACAATTAATGGGGAAAAAAAACAAACCGAGAAAAAAAAACTTTGCATTCGGTTTCAAGTTCAAATGCACAAACGCAACCTCAGTTTCACAGCGATATTTTCAGCAATCAATATGGAATCAAACAGAAAACTTAGTACTTTGGTTCACATTCATATTTTCAACAATCCACCAAAGTAAAAAAAAATAAAAAACAAGCTTTGTGGCTAAATTCCAATATAGCCTTTACACCGATTGTGTAGTCCAACAATGGCAAGGAAATAATAAAACTTGAAAGAAAATGGAAGGTGCCTCTGCGGTAGCAGTTTCACTGATGCATGTAAACCTCAGCAGCTTCAACACTCCTTGAGATCCCATGTGTAGAAAGTAGTAACAAAAGAAACATGGAAGAAAACATTAAATATAGAATTCTTAGATCACCTTAAACATAATTAAACACTTGATTATATTTGTAGATAATACAAATACCAAACAGCAAGGATTACTAACGTTAAATATTTTGTGAAAGTGCTCACGTTAATGTTTGTGGATGTTTGCGATATTTGGGTGCCAAAAAAGAGTGTGTGTGTTTTTGAGATACGAATGGATTGCTGGCCGCTAATGGCAGGGGGGAAGTTTTCTTAACATGAGGTTTAGGAGATGAACAACAGCAATTCACCTTGAGATCCCGCTCGCACTTGTCAGTATAAGAGACTTGCTTCGCTCTGCAGCTGGTGTCCGGAGGTGCAGCACCCACACTCAAACGATCGCCGGCACTCACGCTCATAGCGATCCACCCTGCCCAAACACAGCGAGGTCTCCACAATGCAGCAACAGCGTCTGACTCGATTCAGGTGACCTGCATCTATCTGCTAATTACTGCTGCGCTCTCCTGCAGCTCCACCTTAAATACACATTTCCTCACTTCCGGATAATTGATTTCCCTCCTCCGCTCGGCCATAACACATTAAACATCCTTGCACGTTTTTTCATTCTGCCACAGAACCACACCGCCAATCCAAACTGTATGCTAATTGTCAATCATCTTTGACGATAGTGGTCCTG